CTTGCCATTTGGTCTTCTTTCCGTTAATTCGTCTAGACTACAAACGCAAGATCTTCGCCGAGTCAAAGTGTTCGGTTTGCATGGAGAATACCGCCAGGCATCTTATCATTAGCGTTGGCCAGAGGGTAATTTCCAATGGGCGTCTTTTTTAAAAAAAACATATGCATGTATGTATGTAGTCATATTTCAGAGTAATTAAGGAACTGGTGACCGTAGGGTGTCTAAATTCCATTGCGAAGAAATTTTGTCTGTTACGGAGAAGTGGTATTCACACTACCGGTTTATTTAGGCTGTCTTGCTTGCAATGTCAGTAGTGCCCTCGTGAACCATGCTCTAAGAATGAGTTCCTCTGAACGCTCTGTGATCTAGGGTTCATTTATCTGTCGTATTAGCACGGCTAATTGTCGCATGTTACTCGACCTTTTTCGCCAAGTCACATCCATCATATTTACCTTATTTTCCTAAATTTTCCCTACTTAATATTTATAAGCAGCATTTATTTTGTATTTTAAGGTCTTTCTATCTCTACCGGAACACGCTAGTCTTACCCCCGGCCACTGCTTCATCGCACCACATGAACACATTGGTGCTATGACGCGCGTTGACGAAGTCGCCGCTAATGAGGCCAGCTCCTATAAGCAGAAACTCTGCAAGTTAGCCTCCCGGTCGCTTGGTCTCTCTCATGGCTCCTACGTATTCCTCGAAGTTGCAGCCTATCCGAATGCCTATAAACATCATGTTAGGATTGAATGCATTCCAGTTGACAAGGATGCTTTGGAAGAACTCCCACTTTACTTCAAGGTACGTCTCCTGTCCACCTTGTTCCTTGCTGCTGTTTCGAGACACCTCCTTTTTGACGCTGGTTTACTCAAATCGGCAAACTCCTTCATTTGTGGATTTTATAGGTTATTGGCGAGCGGTACTTTTCAGCAACTCATCATTGGGCCCGTACGAGTACAGTCACCTCTAATTAACGCCATGGTATGGCGGTTCGCCGGTCAGATTACGGACATACTCTCCCCGTTCGCCTTGGCACCCAATCTAAAGTCCTCGCAGGCAGTCTCAAAGTCTCCTTGCTTTCTGTATTCTCTGCCACGGCAAAAAATTAGCATTCTGAGCATAAAAATCCAATGTGTCATTCGTACGTCATCTAGCTTCCCCACTAAAACATTGGCTCTGATTCCTCCAGGGGGTGACCCCGTGGCAACGCCATTGCCTTGCCTGTGAAGTCCCCCACTGGATTGAAATTCCACATTCAGAGGGCTTCTCACTGAAAATTCCTTTAGCACAACCGTCAGTATTCCAATGTCGTAGACTGAGCGCTTAAGTAGGCAGATAACCGTGAAAGTTTAAATC